CGGCGTGAGCAATATCTCGGTATCCCCCCCGTTGGCTCTCATGCCTCCAGCCTTGGTCTCGCCCGCCAACACTTCCAGGATGGTAGATGCATCATCGCGCCCCCCGTGTTCAGCGAAAATGAGCAGGTCATCTAAGAAATTCGACTGGGGCGCGCCCAAGGACTCGCACTCGTCCCCAATCAGGCTGTCGTTGCACCTGATGTTCTTGAGTGTAGGGTCGAAGTACACCTTGATGGCTGGATTCTCCTGTTGATTAAGTTGGTCCGTTATTCGATGCACAATCCCATCATAGACCGCCACAAAAATACCTGGACTCTCCACACCTCCTTGGCGTACACCTTGCTTGGCCAAATCTGAGCCACGGGCACATGCGCGGTGACATCGCGGAACAAGTAGCACATGCTCTCATGGAGCTCCTCCAAGGTAGCACGAGCATCCCACCGTAATTCAAACTCCCCCAAGATCCGCCATATGTCCTGTCGCTCCACCGCGTCGAAAGCCTCCTCAATGCCCGTGAGTACTGCCGGCAGCATCGGAGGTGGGGCTGAAGTGCTTCCTCTTCGCTTGGCACGATGCTCTCTCTGATGTCGAACGATCATTTCGCCTGCCACAGCCGCCGCATCTCGCGCGCCCCGCCCAGGCATGGCGCCGAACTGCGCTGGCGAGATCTTGCGCGCCTCCCCCCTCGTTTCCAGTGTAGTGACCCTGGCGTGCGCCCCCAGGTGGCCCCTCCCATGGGCCACTGAAGTGCATGTCCCCCCTTCATATTGGGCAAGTCCATGATGCTCGCCTTCGCCTCCGCAAGGCCATAGCTGCCAATCTTTTCATCGTCGCGCTCCTTCCTGCCAGCATGAGGGGGCCGCTCGTCGAGGCCCATCGCTGCGCCGTCGCACGCGTCGCAGATAGTCTGAGTACGCACTCGCCGGTCGCCCTCCGCATCGAAGCACGACAGCCCAGTGTTCGGGCCCCTCACTGTCATGATTGGCGCCGCTGGCTTCGGGGCCAACTTGTTGACTATGGCGTGGGGCCTCCGCCAGTTCCTCTGGCCTGCCGCTCGTTCCGCCACGTCGGCCAGCGCCGCCGTCCACTGCTGCTTCTCACTCCTGATCGCCGCCGTCGCCAACTTTGCCGCCTCGTTGAACCGCGGCTGAACCTGCGCCCGCAGCCGCCGAGCGCCGTTGGGAATGGCTGCCAGCTGGCATTGCCAGTAGTGCTTTGCCTTAATCAGTCGTACCGCCTGGTCATCGAACACTGGCCCGTTCACTCGTCCCGACGTTGGTGGCGATATATAGTCCTGTAGTGCCGCCTCGATCACCGCGCCCTCCAGCTCATTGAAGTACTCGGTGGGGGACTCGCATCGCCTGCCATTGCCGCAGATGTCGTGCCAGTCCTCCTGAAGCCCCTTCGCCTCGATCCCTTCCTGAACCTTCGCCCGAAAATTGAGCAAACGGTTGGGGAGTCCCACCTGGTTATCTGGATCCGCCTCCGCCTGTTGCGCCTTGAGCAAACCCGCGACCAAAAGCTCTCGACGCCATCTGCATTGGCCTGCACTCTTCACGGTATTTGCGTTCACGCCTGTGTAGACATGAGGCTCCAATGGCCTGTGGCCCCTGTAGCCGCCCAGATTGACAGGAAGGTCAGCGCGGGGGTAGCTTGATAGTCCGTACCCACCCCTTCTGCGCACCAATACAGAATCAATCGTCGTCCATGATCCCAGCGGGCTCCTCCATGTGCCATTCAATCGCCCTGGCTTGCCGAAAGCGTTTAATGCCATCAACCCGTGATCCTCCATCAGGCCCATCATCGCATGACCATTGCCGTTGATCGAGGGTCCTGACCGCCTCACCCCAGCAAAGCCCGCCCATGGCAGCAACGGTGGAACGTGCGCGTTGGCGTCCAGCGTGACAATGAGCGACGTGCGAGCAGGAACCTGACCAACTGCGCGACGGCATATCTGCCAAAACCGATCTCTTGTATCCAAGTGCTTCTCGCGATACTCCATTGCCTCCACTCCTTTAGGTGCATGACCAACCTCACTCGTGGGCGCGTAGCCGCTCAGCATTTATATGTTCCGTTCGAACCTCTTTTTGTACGGTTTCCCGAGCCTGACTCCCTGTAGTTTCCCTTCCATCCACGCGTGCTCGCACCTGACCTCGTCTTTCTGGAACAACTTCATATTGATAGCCGTGAGGCACCCATCTCGCTGGCCACGTCCCGACCTCGCCAACGAGTGCACCTTGTATACCCCCGACTTCCATGGCCTACCCAGGTCCATCTGCGTACCCTGCATGGTGAAGATGGCCATGTCCTCCTTCCTCGCCGACTCTAGTAGTTCGTCCAAACGACCCACCCTGCGCAGCGACTCCACATTGAGACTCCACACCTTTAGCGTTCTCTGCTTCCCCGCGGCCCGCTGCTCCAGGTGGTCACCCTCCTTCCTCACTTTCTCTATTGCTCGATCTTCAGCTCGTTGTGGCAGTTGGGTCGCCTCGTGCGGTATCTCTGGAGTGACCAACTGCGCAGCTGCGGCTCTCGTGATCTTGTGCCCACGATACCATGCCGATCCAACCAACAATGCGAGCCTCGCAGTTCGCCTCAGGGCACGCTTGCCGCGCATCGCCCGTACGCCCTCTTTCCAGCAGCGCTGAAGTTCAGCACTATGCCGCTGTCCTCGCGGGTCGGGCTCCCCGCGAACGCTCACCTCGCAGTGTTCAGAGAAGCTCGCCCTCTCAGACTAGTGCTGCCCTCGACATGGCGTGGCCGAGGATGAAGGGGAAAAACACTGGCCAGGACTTGCGACCTGGCACGACCGTCGCTGCGACGCAACCGTCTTGAGCCGTCGAGGCTTTCGCCAGCCTTCCGCCGGCTTCCGCCGAAAGCGAGGGGCATCGATGTGTTCGAAGGCAAGGCCCTTTCTGGAACGCGCTACGTAACGGTCGCAGCACGCTGGCAGCACGGTGGCCATTTTTCGAAACGGTCGCAGACCGGGGAACTGGCGAGGGATGAAGGGGAGAGAATGTCGGCGACCACTTCGCCTCGTCCACGGCGCTGCTGGGAGGAGGCCGCGCGGCGCTGCCGTTGCCACCGCCGCGGCACTGCTGCTGGGATGAGGAACTTGTGCTCTCCACGTCGCGGCGGCGGCCCCTGCAACACGCTACGCCCTTTGAGTTGACAGCGTGTCGCTCTGCTTCGTGGGACAGGAGGCTGGGAGCAGCTCGGGACGTTGATGCTTGGGGACTGAAACGGCCTCAGCGTGTCGCACCAAAAGCACGGTGGGCCAGACCCTGCGGCACGACACGCTAAGCAAACGTTCCTGACGGTACCATTGATACGAAAGCAGGACGAAGGCAAACTCACGTTGAGATGAATAGGTAATCTCGAAAGGCCAGATGGACTGGAAGATGCAGTGGGCGCCGCGGCCGATCCAGAACGCACCATAGAGCTATCAGAGCGCCCCAAGGCACGCATGAGCCAAAGCGGCCAAGACAGAGCCAGCTCAAACTATGAGCAACACCTTATTGAACAAATGAGGGGCCAGCCCTGCTTGTTGGGCCCCGTGCGTGTGCCAGAGGACTGAAAGCTGGGCCAGCTTCACAGGACGTGACTACGAAATGCGCACTCCAACCCTCGCGAAAAACGAATGGCAACAGGGTAGCGCCAATTCCCCTTTGCTGCCGCCACAACTGGGAAAGCAAGAAGATACCGATACTGCTGCACAGGCCCGAGCTCTTCCGGAGCGCGTTCTCGCCAGGACTGCAGAGAGAATCCAGCCGTGGCGACGACGAGAGCGCAGCGATAGGAGTAAGAGGAGGAGGACGTGGAGGAGGTGGAGGAGGAGGAGGAGGGAGGAGGGAGGAGAGAGGAGGAGGGAGGAGGGAGGAGGGAGGAGGGAAGAGGGAAAAGGGAGGAGGAGGAGGAGGAGGAGGAGGAGGAGGAGGGAGGGGAGGAGGAGGAGGAGGAGGAGGGAGGCGGGAGGCGGGAGGAGGAGGAGGCTCCTCCTCCTCTGAGCCGCTACCACCACAGCGTGAAGTAAAGAGGCTAGACGGCGCCCGCGCCCAGGGGCTCGCAGCTCCAGGACCGAGGCACGTGCACGGCCCAAGGGGGGGGGCATGGGGACACGCTGAAACACAGTAGGGGCCCGACCATAAGAAACCTTGTGTTGCTTTTTGCCAGCTCGAGAAGGTGGCGCAGTGGCTGAGGGAAGAAGAGGGCAACAGCAGGGGAGGGGAGGAGAGCACAGCAGCAGAGGGGAGGGGAGGCAGCTTGCACAAGAAACCCAACCCTGAGACCCCAGGGCGTCCCTTGATTTTTGGTGTGGGAGCGTCACGCCTCCGCCTTCCATTGCAAAACCATCGAAACCCAAGAAACCCAGGGCACTCTGGAGGCGAGCAGGGTGTTTCTTGGCATGGGTCTCCACTGTAAGAAAAAGGAACCATGAAATCCGGGGACGACATGTCATAGCCCTGGTCATGATGTCACCCCCCCCGGAATCGTCGCCCCCGTGTTGCTTAAGCTGGAGTATTGGGTCTGACCCACATGGGTCCGCGGGGAAAGGTGCAAGAGTACTTGCAGTAGTTGGTGCCTGAATGCAGCAGCTTACGCGCTGGACGCAATAAATGCGCGTGCGTGCCCTTGTGTAGCTTCTGTCACGCGCAATAATTGTCGCCCGTGCAAAGAAAGTCCCGCCCCCGCCCGCAAACAGTCGCGCCACATTTCACGCAACAGTACAAAAGTAATGAAGGAGAATGCATCTCGCCGCCGACCGATCTGCGCCAGACCCACTTGTCCAGCTCAGCCCTTGGCCTTTTAAGCCGGCGGCGCAGAGGATCCTCAGGCGCGGACAGCAGATGGAACTGCCAATTGCGATCGAGCGTTGTTGAATGCACAGTGCGTAGCCCGTGTACAATGTCAAATGCAGCGATGGGTGGAAATTCGGCCGTCCCTGACCCAAATCGGCCCTCGCGCGCGTGGCGCGCCGGAGCCGAAGGGGAGCGCTCCGCCGTGTACGCGCCCGGCGTCTGCGGCGAGGCGATCTGCGTGCGCGCGCCCACGGCGGTCGCGCGCCCACGGCGGTGGCGCGCGGCGCGCGCTGGCGCGCTCCCGCCGGGCTGCCGAATGGTGGTGTCTGCTGCTGCTGGGGCCCTCAACCCAAATATCTGGCGATATTACGCATGCGCAGTCCAAACAATTTTCCTAGATTCCAGCCGACGGAGGCCTGTGAACGGGCCCCGGGGCCATCGAAGACGGATCTGGGGCGAAAAACTTGCTCTTGGGAAACAGTCGGGACCTTTGGGGCTGCGGATAGACAAAGCTGGATCGGCGAAAGCCAGGGAGCCAGGTCACTGCTGACCAGGACTTTGAACATTCCATCTGGAGATCAACCCACGGTTCAATTGTTTTCCTGGGCGCGCCGTCGCCTTTGCTTCCGTCGTCCTTCGAGTGGCTCTTGGCTCCTCCTCCTCCTCCTCCTCCTCCTCCTCCTCCTCCTCCTCCTCCTCCTCCTCCTCCTCACTTACTCTCATGGCGGTAGATGGGCACTCCCTGCTGCCATTGGCCCCCTCCTGCGGTTGCCGCGCTGCACTGCAGGAGGGGCCATTCCGAAAATGGGCCGATCTCCGGTGGTGGTGCCGGCGAAGTACGAGGGGGGGAGAAACGGGCGGGGGCCCGAAAGAGGAGATCGAAGGCGGACACGAACGGCGATTCGAACGAAGGAAGGAAACGAGGAAAGGGATCTGCGGGTCGACTGTCGTGTGCCCTCCAAACCAAGTCCAGTCCCACCGTGATTTCACCTCATCCCCCCCACCTGTCCTGACCTGTCTACACCTCAGATGTAATTGTCGTCGCAGTCGGGCTCAATAGAAAAGGTACTTGAAATCGGAAAAGATGAGGCCGGAGGAGTCGTAAAAGAAGTTGATGCTCATGACCCACTGAGGTGGAAGTCGATAGAGTAGGTGGAGTGTTCGAGATCGGAGTGTGTAGCCTTGGACGGCTGGTGATGAAGTGGGTAGTAATACCTGTGGTCGGCGTCGGGCACCTCGCGCGGCTTCGCACAGTGGCGTGAATAGCTACTGCCAGTGGTTAGGGGCGTAGTTGGGTGACGTATTCTTTGAGCATGTCGATGAACTTGGAGGTGGAGTCGTTGGCCGACACGATTTCGTTCTGAATGTCTACGACCATGTTGTAGCTGACCTGTGATTCCCTTACCATCAGAGCAAGGGTGTCGAGCTCATGAATGTCGTGGTAGTGGGAGCAGTACTCGATGATGATATCTGCGATCAGGGCCTGTCTGCTGCTTCGCATGTTGCTGAATTGAGTGATGGTACCGCGTGCCCAGAGCTCGTTCTTGCTGTGAAATTACATGACCTCATCGCCCTCGTTGACAGTGATGGTACCGTGGGCGAGGGAGTCCTCAAGCTTGGTGTGGGAAGGGTAGCGCATGGTGGCTCCCACCGGGAAGGTGATTGTGTCGGGATTTACCTTCTCTTGGGTGATCTTCGCAACGGAAAACCATCCAATGGGCTTCTGGGGCTCCACTTGCATCGGGGGAGGTTGGTTGTCGTTTGCGATGGGAGTATTGATGCTTGGCGTCGGGTCGCATGTGCTGGATGCAGAAGTGTGCACGCGTTGTTATCCTGCCCTGGGTGCTTCCAGCTGCGCGATCGTATCGTCGTAGTCGGTATTGCATTTTGCTTGTGCAGCAGTATCTTCTTTGAAGGTCGGCAGGGCGGGTGGGGCTTTAAATATCACTGGCTTGGGGTCTTGGTTTGGCATGCTTCGAGGAGAGACTTGGTGAGCTGGGTTGGATGTCGCCGGCGAGTGTGTGGTTCCGGGCGTTGTGCTAGTCAGTGCACTGCCGCTGCTGGTAGGCATGATAGTGCGAGTCATGTGGGATGTATTGCCGGTTGCGGTCGTCAGTGTAATTTGCTCGTTGTGGGTGTTTTCTCTCTGTGAGGTCGGTTCCCGCTTCGGTAGTATCTCGATGTGGATCTCGCGCTCGAAGATGCCGTGGTCGCCGCATAGTGCAAGTGTGGGTTTCGGGCTGCGAATCTGCTTGATGCGCTGGAGGATGTGGAATGCGCGCGGAGGGCATGGGCCTAACTCACGTAAAGGTGCGACCACGAGCACGTTGTTGCCGAATCAGACAAAGAGCTCGATGTCTTGGATCAGAAGAACAGTCCACATGCTTGCTCGCTGTACCATAGATATGCTCGGTCGACCCATTCGTGGACGTCTGGATTCCGTCGGTAGTCGGTCCGCATCTTGTCGGGTAGGTCGTGGATGGTGAGAGTGTCATGGCTTTGTCGACCTGCTCGCGCATGGCTGGGTAATCTGTTATTGGCTGGTAGTCAGTAAAGAATGGAGGGTACATCGGCCTCGAGCTGTGGTAGAAGCAGCCGTGCCTGTTGATGCTTAAGGCCTCGATGTCCTGGTCGGTGAGCTGCCGAGTACAGCATGGTTCGTAGTTGGAGTCGCCTGGGAACTTCCACTAGGCAGTGCCTGTGTCCCTGTTGTGGTAGTAGGCGAGGCTTATCGTTGCATCAGCGTGTGCGGCCCAACCAGATGGCAATCTCCCGTGGTGAGATGGGTCAGGCGGGAGAGTTTCGCCGTGCTTTTACGCTGGTGGGTCGCATGGGCTGCGGAAGCATCGGCTGGCCCCTGGCGTCGTTGTGGTAATTGCTATGGGGGTCTGCCTGGGGGTGGGCCAGGCGGTGGCGGCGGCTGGTTAGGGATCGGGGTTTTGGTCTGCTGGTGAATGATCTGGAAGGCGTTCGGCACAGGTATTGGCATGGTTTGGTGGGGTTGTGGGGTGGATATTCGCTGAACCGGCGTGTGTAATAATAGTGCGCGCTTGGCGTTGTACTTGCTGCGATCGGGCCTCTGGGAAAGCCCCGTGCCAATTGGGGAAGTCGTTGTGGGTCCAGCTGATGGGCTGAAAGCCAGCGTTGAGTAGCTTGTGGCAGTAGTGAAGCAGGTGACGTGTACTGTGGCTCTCTTCGTCGTCGATGAGATACTGCCTTGCTTTGTGGGCCTCGTATTCGCGTAGCTTGTCGATGTCGGTGACCGTTACCTGCATGGTGCCGACAAGTATGTTTTCAATAGGTTGCTTGTGCTCTGGTGCTTCGTAGTCAGGTCCCTGTCTCGTCTCGGCGGGTGCATCCCCATCGGGGGGTGAACTCTACGTCGTGGACGATGCTCCCCCGCTTGGTGGCCTCAGTGTGGACGTTGGTGGTTCCGTCGGTTCTTGTTGCGCGTGTCTCCGAAGTAGTGATGATCTCCAGCAGAACCTGTGCTGGGTAGTCGATGGGGGCGTTGTCGACGATGGCGGGCCACTTGGGAAGGTCATTGATGGGCGCGCTCAACTTGAGGATCGTCGCGTGATCGATCTCCTGCGTTGGTAATGGCAGCGTGCGGTATGTCCCCGCCCATGCCGATAACAATGTGGTGTCCCGTTGGTGGCATAGATATACTGGTACTCGCTGTCCTCTAGTGTCCGTGTCGTCACAGTGTAGTCCAACGACTGTTTGGGGCGTGGTGTGGTGGCGATCGATGGGTCGGATGTAGTTGTCAGTATATTGGTGTAGTACTCCTCCTCCGCGCGTTCCATTGATGTCTCTTGCGCATGCCGATAGTACCCCTATCCCGGAGGTCGGATGCAGGGTGCAGTAGATGCCGGTGATCGCCACGATGTAGATATTCTGGCTGTATCGCTCGATGTTGCTGTGGATGGCTTTACGTTCTATCCCTCGAAGTTGCGGCGTTTCCCCATGCCCTTATTTTTGAAGGTGCGCAGGGTCTGTAGATTGGTGAACGGCCCCTTGTCTCTGTTATCCCACGGTGGTGCGTGTAGCTGTGGTGGGGCTCTGATTACGGGTGATGGGATGTCTTGCGTTCCAAGTTGTGGGCGGGTATCTTCTTGGAGTCGCGTTCGTTAGCGGCGTCTCCTGGTGCGCGGTTTTTTGTGGCGGACCGGTAGCGCGGGCAGTGATCAGGTCGGTCCACTCAATGGTCTGTGTCGGCCCACACCTCGTTGTTGGATTGGACCAAAAAGTTACCGTAAACAGTGTCCCAACTCTCCTTGGCCTTGTCCTTCCAGCATCCCCCCGTTGCGGCGAGGCGAGCGATGGCGATGCGATGGCGGTAAGTGGTTCGCACATGTCCGCCCTTCACTGCCGCGGGGGCGCATATGTAGCCCACGTCGAGGTACACGTGCGTGTTGTGGCGTGTGAGGGCGTCGGATGTGTTGCTTCTTTGTGATGGCCTTGCAATGCCTGAGCAAGCAGTAGCTCCTTGTGGTTCTGCTCTGGGGTCTCCTGGAATGTAGATGAGCGCCTTCTTGTTGTCGTAGCCCTTGCTGTTGGACGAGGGTAGGCATTGCTTCTTGTTGGCACTCTGGCGGGACCTCGCTCCGCATCTTACGTGGAGCTGCGTCAATGGCTGCGACCCGTTGTTGGTAAGCGTGGTCTAGGTCCTTAAACGTTGGCACAGTAGAGCTTGGCCCCATTGAAGTCGATGAACTTAAGTAGATTGCCGAAGACTTCTGCGGGCATCCAAATGTTTTCGCCTGGACTTTCTTGCGGTGAATGTGATCTGCTGAGGACGGAGATCCATCGGAGGTGTCATGGCGCACTGCGCTTGGCAACGAGGTGCGCCGAAGCTGGGCTACGGTTGGTGACATGTCGGCTGTTGCTTGCTGGCGATGTCTTGAGAGGTGGCATCTTTCTACCAGGTGAGCGATCGGGCGCCACGGTGAAACGTGAGAGAACCAATGCTGAAGCAACGGCCTGTATACTAAGCAGTGGACCGCCGTGGCCCGCATTGCGGGGTGGCCACCGCCCGTCGGGGCCATCCTGCTGTGCTCCATTGCCGCCTGAAGGTTGAGCATGTACTCGCTTCCCCTCTAGACGCTGCCGCAGTACGGGTCCAACGGGCCGTGGGACTCCACAATGTCGCCTTCCATGTCCCAGTTCTCGCGGTCTCGTAGTTGTGTCCTTCTGTGGTGGATGGCGTCCATGATGGCGTGAGCTCGCAGTTT